CACAATCCTTGCACTCGAGCGCGCATTAGAATCCAAAGTTGACACGCTAATTGTAAGTAACTCCTTGTCATCCTTGACTGCCCTCAGCTCCCCAAGGTATAACTGTGACGTGCTTATCTCTGAAGCTAGACACAGATATAGTGAAATAATCAATGATGGAGTCAGAGTTTGTTTCCTGTGGATTCCTTCCCATATTGGTCTCCGAATGCATGATAGAACTGATGAGTTGGCCAAGACTTTTGCTCGTAAAGAGGGAATTGATTACCAACTTGGACTGCCTTTGAGCAGCCTGAGGGCAGCAATATCCCAGGAACATCAACTAAATTTCGGAGATTTGAGGCAAAGTGAAATTCACACTAGTTACTCCATCTATCATCATTTTATTATGCATGAAGAACCGCACGTCTATGGGTCATCCAATAATGTTAGCAGACTTCTAGATGTTACCACTGCTAGGCTTAGGCTCGGCTACAAGTACCTCTGGGACTTTGTAACATCTGCTGATGTAGATTTGACTAAATGTAAACTCTGTCAGCAGAACTATTCGCATACTTTGCGTCATTATATAATGGAATGTGAAAAAATTGCGGAATTTAGAGATAACACCATCAATAGTGTCCAAGAAATGTGTAAGTAATTCATTCATAATGATGTGCTGCCCGAAATCTTAGCGAAGTATCTAAAATTTGCTTACTGGTAAGGCATGCACATGACTGCAAAGCTGCCGCCCAGTTGGGTGGGTGTGGAGCAAGACTAGTAACTGTGTGACTCACTATAGATGTAAAGTGCCTTGTATAGTGACTGTTGTGAGCCTCTTGTTGAATCACTTGTGACACAAAGATTATTGATGGGTGTATGTGTGTGGGTGATTAGATATGTATGTGTATGTATATATGTATATATATATATATATTTACATGTATGTATGAGAGTGTGTACATGTGTATATATACATATATAATTTTGTAACTAGCGTCAAACATTGTTATTTGCTTAGCTAAACGAACTAGAGGGGGGCTGTCGTTTAGCTAAGTGGCACATAATAGGTTCAGATCTTGAACCGATTATGTGACTCGGTAACCCTTTCCACCACCGTCCACGGGACGGATATGAGGTACATAATAAAGAATGAACTTGAAAAATTGTCCACGGAATACATGTATGGTCCACTACTGCCCACGGAATACATGTATGGTCCACTACTGCCCACGGAATACATATATGGTCCACTACTGCCCACTGAATACATGTATGGTCCACTACTGCCCACTGAATACATATATGGTCCACTACTGCCCACGGAATACATATATGGTCCACTACTGCCCACGGAATACATGTATGGTCCACTACTGCCCACGGAATACATATATGGTCCACTACTGCCCACGGAATACATGTATGGTCCACTACTGCCCACGGGATGGACATATGGTCCAATATTGCCCACGAGATGGCAATGTGGCCCACTATTACATTTCACCTTGTAAAAAATGCCCATTAAACACATTACGGGTAAAACACACCTCGAACACTGTTTATGCAGCGTTCGACAGACGTAAAACCTATGTATTTATGCATGTAGATTAGATTAATATTTTAATAGCACTACAATCACCTTCTGTGGCTGATTGTTCAATAAATCAATTTAACAATTCTCTAACCCAGTCCACGGAGGACAGAATACAATGTGTATATGTTAGCATTGTAAAGGAATGACGGCGTCTGTGGTAGAAAAAACTGCTTAATTAAGGTATGGTTTTACTCACCTAGTTGTGCTTGCGGGGGTTGAGCTTCGGCTCTTTGGTCCCACCTCTCATTTGTCAATCAACTGGTGTACCGATTCCTGAGCCTATTGGGCTTTATCATATCTATATTTGAAACTGTATGGAGTCTGCATCCACCGGCCTTTGGGAGCCGGTCGGCCGAGCGGACAGCACCCTGGACTTGTGATCCTGTGGTCCCGGGTTCGATCCCGGGCGCCGGCGAGAAACAATGGACAGAGTTTCGTTCACCCTATGCCCCTGTTACCTAGCAGTAAAATAGGTACCTGGGTGTGAGTCAGCTGTCACGGGCTGCTTCCTGGGGGTGGAGGCCTGGTCGAGGACCGGGCCACGGGGACACTAAAGCCCCGAAATCATATCAAGATAATCTCAAGATCAAGATAACCACGTTGCCTAATGTAACCCATTTGTTAACTACCATGACACTAACAAAAAATATTCTAATGTCTGTGGCTCATTGTGTGTTTTACTACTGCCAACGGGATGGGTAAGTGGTCCAGTGCTGACGCTGAGTCACTACGGGGCTCAAGATATAATGACCACACCACACATCACAAGATGGAGAAACGGCGACGAAGTTCCGGTCCATCCTGGACCATTATTAAGTCGTAAGTCGTAACATTGCCAACACCATTATCACTTACATGATAATGGTCCCGGACGGACCGAAACGTCGTTGCTTCTCCATCTTCTGATGTGTGATTTGGTCATCATGTGGACCAATACTGCACACAAGTAGATGGGTATGCGGTCCACTACTGCCCACGGGATGGATATGTGGTCCACTACTGCCCACGGGATGGATATGGGGTCCACTACTGCCCACGGGATGGATATGGGGTCCACTACTGCCCACGGGATAGATATGAGGTCCACTACAGCCCACGGGATAGATATGTGGTTTACTACTGCCCACGGGATGGGTATGTGGTCCACTACTGCCCACGGGATGGATATGAGGTCCACTACAGCCCACGTGATAGATATGCGGTCCACTACTGCCCACGGGATGAATATGCGGTCCACTACTGCCCACGGGATGGATATGTGGTCCACTACTGCCCACGGGATGAATATGCGGTCCACTACTGCCCACGGGATGGATATGCGGTCCACTACTGCCCACGGGATGAATATGCGGTCCACTACTGTTCACGGGATGGATATGCGGTCCACTACTGCCCACGGGATGAATATGCGGTCCACTACTGCCCACGGGATGGATATGCGGTCCACTACTGCCCACGGGATGGATATGCGGTCCACTACTGCCCACGGGATGGATATGCGGTCCACTACTGCCCACGGGATGGATATGCGGTCCACTACTGCCCACGGGATGAATATGCGGTCCACTACTGCCCACGGGATGGATATGTGGTCCACTACTGCCCACGGGATGGATATGCGGTCCACTACTGCCCACGGGATGGATATGCGGTCCACTACTGCCCACGGGATGGATATGCAGTCCAATACTGCCCACGGGACGGATATGCGGCCCACCACTGCCCACGGGACGGATATGCGGTCCACCACTGCCCACGGGATGGATATGCGGTCCACTACTGCCCACGGGACGGATATGTGGCCCACCACTGCCCAAGGGATGGAGTGCATAATAAATATACAAACTCAAATCAACCGTTCACAATACGGACGTGTTCACATTGTAGACCGATGTGTGAATCTGTGACACTTTACAATTCCACTTAAGAACGGGAATCACAGCGTAAGGACCCCACAACATACAAATGGCCTTTGCACTTCTCTAATCAGTAAAGAAATAACTAAACTCTTAACAGTTAACGAACGGTTAGCACGAAAAGAAAAAAATAACACATTATGGAGACCGCGTCAAGATTCTCGGATACCTGAACTTATCTTATCTGAGGGCCGCTAACACTAGTAGCCTCCACGAGGACAGGAAGCCAGCGACTTGCCAAGGGTCCCTCCTTCCCAACTTATTTAACACAATTATTTTTTTATTAATTTTGCACCCAAGGGGCGAGTTTATTGGGCAGCGCCACTCATTGAGTGAATTTACGTTTACTTAATATGAGCGCTTTGGGCTGGGTTCGTATCCTGGTCTGGGAGGATTGACTGGGCACCAATCCTTAGCTGTAGCCTTTGTTCACTCAGCAGTTAACAACCAGGTATCCAGTGAATGGGGTACCTAGTTGTTATAAACGATTTGGCGGGTAGTCTTCCGGGGAAAATTAGGATTAAGGACGTGCCATACGGGTTCACCATAGCCCGTGCTACTGGAACTTCTTGTTTTAAGTAGCTGAACCTAAAACAACAACAGCAAGGACCTGCCCGAAACGCTATGCGTGCTAGTGGCTGTACAAGAATGAAAGAACTTTTGTGTGTGTGTGTATGTGTGTGTGTGTGTGTGTGTGTGTGTGTGTGTGTGTGTGTGTGTGTGTGTGTGTGTGTGTGTGTGTGTGTGTGTGTGTGTGTGTGTGTGTGTGTGTGTGTGTGTGTGTGTGTGTGTGTGTGTGTGTGTGTGTGTGTGTGTGTGTGTGTGTGTGTGTGTGTGTGTGTGTGTGTGTGTGTATATGACAGTGTCAGACCACGGAGGAAAATTGAAACAGGAATTTCCTTAAGTACTTTCGTATATTAATACATCTTCAGAAGGAGTGGTCCAGTTGATTGACAGTTGAGACATTAATGTGGGCTCTTACATTTACCTCCCCATTTTTTTGGAGAACTAGCTGATTAATACATTACTCCTTCTGAAGATGTATTAATATACGAAAGTACTTAAGGAAATTCCTGTTTCCTCCGTGGTCTGACACTGTCACATTTTTAATCACGTGGTTATTTTTCGTGATTTACACACACACACACACACATATATATATATATATATATATATATATATATATATATATATATATATATATATATATATATATGTATGTATATAATAAATAAATATATATATATATATATATATATATATATATATATATATATATATATATATATATATATATATATATATATAATATGATGCTAAGAGCATGATATTCGTGAAGCCAACGCAGCATGCCCACATGCGGGAGAGAACCACGATGACACTTAGCTGATAATCTGCACTTCTTTGGTGGGGTCACTATTTCTCCGGTTAGCGACCACAACGAATCCTCCAAAGGGTCAAGATATATCTTTACGCAACACAAAACATGGATCGTTAGCACTATCACTCACAAACTCTAATCTCAAATGAAGAAAATACGCCAGGGCCACGGGTCAGGCAGGGTAATCTCACGCGTCAGCCCACTCGCCACCATGGTTTGCAGCACACTGAGGATATCTGCTGCCTTGGCCCAGACGGAGCGCTCATTGCCGACCCGCCGTCCCCCACCCCCTCCCTCTCTCCCATCTATCTCTCTCTCCCATCTCTCTCTCTCTCTCTCTCTCTCTCTCTCTCTCTCTCTCTCTCTCTCTCTCTCTCTCTCTCTCTCTCTCTCTCCACCCTATCCCTCTCTCTCCCATCTCTCTCTCTCTCTCTCTCTCTCTCTCTCTCTCTCTCTCTTCTCTCTCTCTCTCTCTCTTTCTCTCACACACACACACACTCTCTCTCTCTCTCTCACTCTTTCTCTCGCACTCTCTCTCTTTCTCATCTCTCACTTCTCTCCCTTCTCTCTCTCCCTCTCCCATCTCTCTCTCTCTCCCTCTCCCATCTCTCTCTCTCTCTCTCTGTCCCATCTCTCTCTCTCTCTCTAACACACAAATGGCTACTAGACTAACTTTTGCAAGTGCAAAGTGATGAAGATAGGTGTAGGGAGCAAGAGGCCAAACACAAGGTACCAGCTGGGGGAGGAAATCCTTCAGGAGACAGGACCAGAGAACTTGTGTAAGGAGTCATTCAGGACTTTGTATACCTCATGTGTCAGACCAATACTGGAATATGCGGCACCAGCCTGGAGTCCACATCTAAACAAACACAAAATGAAATAAGAAAAGGTTCAGAGGTATGTCACCAGGCTACTTCCCGAGCTGAGAGGAATGAGTTACTAGGAAAGCTTACTGCAAATGCTAGGAAAGAAAAGTGGTGTGGCTGTGTATGTGTGTGTGTACTCACCTAGTTGTATTCACCTAGTTGTGTTTGCGGGGGTTGAGCTTTGCTCTTTCGGCCCGCCTCTCAACTGTCAATCAACTGTTTACTAACTACACTAACTACTATTTTTTTTTTCACACCACACACACACACCCCAGGAAGCAGCCCGTGACAGCTGACTAACTCCCAGGTACCTATTTACTGCTAGGTAACAGGGGCATTCAGGGTGAAAGAAACTTTGCCCATTTGTTTCTGCCTCGTGCGGGAATCGAACCCGCGCCACAGAATTACGAGTCCTGCGCGCTATCCACCAGGCTACGAGGCCCCGTAGTGTGTGTGTGTGTGTGTGTGTGTGTGTGTGTGTGTGTGTGTGTGTGTGTGTGTAAGCACCTAATTGTGCTTACGGGGGTTGAGCTCTGGCTCTTTGGTCCCACCACCTTTGGTTGGTAGGGAGCCGGTCGGCCGAGCGGACAGCACGCTGGGCTTGTGATCCTGTGGTCCCGGGGTCGATCCCGGGCGCCGGCGAGAAACAATGGGCAGAGTTTCTTTCACCCTATGCCCCTGTTACCTAGCAGTAAAATAGGTACCTGGGTGTTAGTCAGCTGTCACGGGCTGCTTCCTGGGGATGGAGGCCTGGTCGAGGACCGGGCCGCGGGGACACTAAAAGCCCCGAAATCATCTCAAGATAACCTCTCAAGTGTCAATCAACTGGGGTACACGTTCCTGAGCCTATTGGGTTCTATCATATCTACATTTGAAACTGTGTATGGAGTCAGCCTCCACCACATCACTGCCTAACGCATTTCATTTGTCTACTACTCTGACACTGAAAACAATCTTTCTTATGTCTCTCTGTCTCATTTGGGCACTCAATTTCCACCTGTCCCCTAGTGCGTGTGCCCATTGTGTAAAATAGTCTGTGTTTATCTGCCCTGTCAATTCCTGAGAATCCTTTATGTGGTAATCATGTCCTCCTAACTCTTCTATCTCCCAGTGACGCGAGGTTTAATTCCAGTAGTCTCTCATCGTAGCTCATACCCCTCAGTTCGGGTACTAGTCTGGTAGCAAACCTTTGAACCTTTTCCAGTTTAGTCTTATGTTTGACTAGATATGGACTCCATGCTGGAGCCTCACACTCCAGGATTGGTCTAATATATGTGGTATACAAAGTTCTGAACGATTCCTTACACAAGTTTCTAAAGGCCGTTCTTATTTTTTTTAAATTTTGCCCCGAGGGGCGAGTTTATTGGGCAGCGCCACTCATCTTGTGAGTGAACATACCGCCATAGCAGAATGTACAACACTCCCCAATAGGAAGAAAACCCGCTGGGTTGTTCATCCTGTCACTTGTACCCAGACATAGCCGGGACTTGCTTAACTGTCTCAAGTGAACAGCTCCTCAAACAAGAAGATTAACATTTATCAACCCTTAAAAGCTTACGTTATCTTGCGGGTGCAAAATGGGGAAATCTTTTAAGAACAGTATCAATATTTGACAAATAGTGTTTTCCTAACTCAAACAATGTGGGGTTTATTATTCTACAGTTATTCCTAATGTCTCTCAGGTTTTCACATTCACGTAGATAGTGGTCAAGGCGGTGTCCATCACTCTCACCACAGATTCTGCAACTTCGCTGATCAACTGTTGTTTCCATTCCAAATCTCCATGGATATTTGTATCCAAGACGGATTCTCGCTATTACAGATTCTCTCCCTCGTCGTCCTCCTCTTCGGCCATACTGATTGGGATTGCCAGCTGCAACCATGTTGTACCATCGTACAGATTCACTGGTTTGTGCTTCTATCCTCCTTTCCTCAGTTACCTTGTCACGGTGATGTTGCCTGATAATACCTCTAATTTGTAGTTGAGTCTTGGGTATGAAGTATTCAATATGGTCTCCTTCAGCGCCTTCAGCAGCCAGCACATCTGCTCATTCATTCCCACATATTCCAACATGGGAGGGGATCCACAGAAACTTGATGACTCTTCCCTGATTGGTAAGTACTCTCACAGCTCTCTTGATTTCAGCGACTATTGCAAGATTTTCTGCCTGATTTTTACTTAGGCTTTGCAGTGCTGCTTTTGAATCGGTGCAAATCACTGCACCATTAGTGTTCCGTTCAAGAAACCTTAACGCCATAACAATGGCAGTTAGCTCTGCTTGCGTTGAAGAGGCATAGTTCTCAATACGTGCTTTTTCTTCATTTCTGCGTAGGAAGGTATTATCCTTGATTACCGTGTATGCTGCACCAGCCCTGCCATTGATAGGATTAGAGGACCCGTCAGTGTAGATTTGATCTAGTTCATCTCCGGCTTCTTTATAAATGTCCTCGAGATACTTGTGCCTCATTTCTTGTGGTATCATGTTGGATTTTTTCATTGCCATTTCATTGATGATGATCTTGCATGAGTCATCCTTCCAGGGAGGTAACCTCTCTACAGGCAGGAGCTCACGGGCTTGCTCAAGCAGGTGAAGCTCTTCAAGGTAGCAGACTGCTCTGTGATGCCATTTTTTGCTTCTCCTGTTTCCCCCTGAAAGTAGCACAGAGCTCAGTTTTTTCTTGGCAATATCATTGTAATGGGGATCTCTGGCTATCCTAATTGCAAGCTTAGCATTCAGCTCCTGAATTCTGCTTTTAATACTGGGAAGGGACAACTCCTCTCGTAGATTAGACGTTTTGGCAGTTCTTGGGACTCCAAGAATGATTGTCATGGCTTCATTTTGAATGCTTTCAAGCCTTTTTATATCGCTTTGGGAGTAGGTGCACAGTACTGGTGCGGCATAGTCTATGACGGAGCGCACATAGGCTGTGTACATCATTTTGAGCACGGCAATAGAGGCTCCATGTCCATTCCAGGTCATAGCTTTCAGTGCCCTAAGTCGACTTTTGCATGTTCCTATGAGTTGATTGAGCTCCTCTTTCTTTCCCTTGTTAGAGCCGACAGTGACGCCAAGGTACCGGTAGTGGTCAACCCATTCAAGTGTTACACCATTAATTTGCAGTTCTTCATTTGCTCTCCGCTTGTGATGGGAGTATGCCTTCGTCTTGTTTGTGGAGAGAGTGAAACCGAGCTCAATACATTTCCTTCCGAGGAGTTCAATGGACTGTTCAATTTTTCCCAAGGTGGGAGCTTGTATTAGGACATCATCTGCATATCCCACTTGTTGTGTTCCTTCCGGAAAATCAATATTTGCAATGGCGTTCTTGTGTTAGCCAACCTGGCATATACCGCTGATGTTATCCTCTTGATATGGGCTTCAGGGGACAGGTCTAGCGTTATATCAACCCCCAGGTCTCGGTCTCTCTCTCTCTCCCTCTGATTCTTCAAGTATTTCATCTCCCAAATGATACCTTGTATCTGGCCTGCTGCTCCCTACACCTATCTTCATTACATTACATTTGCTTGGGTTAAACTCTAACAACAATTTGTTGGACCATTCCTTCAGTTTGTCCAGGTCTTCTTGAAGCCTCATGCTGTCTTCCTTTGACCTAATCCTCCTCATAATTTTGGCATCGTCAGCAAACATTGAAAAAAATGAGTCTATACCCTCTGGGAGATCATTTACGTATATCAAACAGGATAGGTCCGAGTACAGAGCCCTGTGGGACTCCACTGGTGACTTCACGCCAGTCTGAGGTCTCACCCCTCACTGTAACTCTGCTTCCTATTGCTTAGGTACTCCCTTATCCACTGGAGCACTCTGCCAGTTACTCCTGCCTGTTTCTCCAGCTTATGCACCAGCCTCTTATGGGGTACTGTGTCAAAGGTTTTCCGACAGTCCACCTATCCTTCTCTTTCTTGCTTAATCTTTGACACCTGACCGTAGAATTCTATTAAGCCAGTGAGGCAAAATTTACCCTCCTTGAACCCCCCTCTGCATAGAAACCCTCCCTTCCCCCACCCAAATGCTCACCCAACCCTCTCTCCCTCCCCCCACCCCATTCTGTCCCTGTCTCCCTCCCCCTTCATCCCATACCCTCCTCCACCCATATCCTCCATGTCCCCCTATCTCCTTACCCCACACCCTACCTGCCCCCCCTTCCCTTGGACCCCCCCCACCCTACCTGCCCCCCCTTCCCTTAGACCCCCCCCCCACCCCAAAATCCTCTGAGAACCTGCAAACCACCTCACAGATCTTCTTAAGCAAAATCCAAGTCGACTACAGAAACCCAGGAAAGTTCTGGAAAAAAGTAAAGACCTTGATGGGAAGCTCTTCTGAGGAAACACCCTACATCATAGACGCCTCAGGAAATAAACTCCATGAGGAGAGAGAACAA